ACACCTGTCTCTTATACACATCTAGATGTGTATAAGAGACAGATGTAAAAATGAATGGTTTGGACGCCGATGAGATACAGAAACACATAAATGACATTTTGACAGGTTATTAATGACTTTATGCACTTGTCAATTGTAGTCACGGCCCCCGGACTCGGGCCCGGGCCATAGCGGGGCACTGGCCGGGTCCCCGTATTGCCGGGACGTATCGAAAATTCACCCGTAGGTGTAACCGGCATCGAGAGGACCGGAAAATTTAAACGTTGGAGTAGCCGGTGTTTCGAATGTAGTGCTGTCAAATGGTCTTGCCCTACATAACAGTTCGCCTACACGAAGTCTAGGAATTCATAAATTGCTGTGTTTTGGTAATTAAAAAATTGCTAATAATAAAATAAACTTTCAGGTGTATAACTCAATCCACATTTATGATTTATATATATCGCCAGGCACTGAAATTGTGAATTAAGATTACTTTTGAGTTCCCTGTGACATTTTGTATCCACAAAATTACTGTATCCAGAAAATTAGTTATTTATAAATTGTATAAATGTCTTTCAAATTTTAGGTGCATCGCATTCTGCGGGGGATGTGGCTACGCAATGCAGTCATTATGCTAAGTCGGTAAGAATTCTAGTAGACTACGTTATCTACAATATATCTAACATACTATTAATTATACTTTCTAAAAAACAGTCATTCAATTCAAGCAAATATTCCCAGTTAGGGGAAAAATGTTAACGCTTTGTTGATACTTTACTAGTAGATAATAGGCCTATCTTTAATAATTTGTAAATAGCACCGCTTATAAATTTATGTTTCAAACGGCGCTTTAATTATTAATGCATTTTAGTATAATAGATGTTGAACTCTCAATTATTTTTCGTTTAGACGTACATTAGCCTCCGAAATGGTTGCTACGTGTTGGCTAGACGAGGGCCAAATGGACAACCAATGGACTCAGTGGCAAACCGCCGTTTTTCGTCTAAGATTCCTGGATTTATAAGATCAAAAATGCTGACCAGTCTGGTTGAGTCAAGGGTGGACCATGATAGTCTCGGCCTGAGATCAGACAGACATGTCTTTAGCGCAAGCGTAATGGTAAATGACTCATTACCAGATCGAATTCTCAACGGGACACTTAAAGTGAAGGCACACATCGAGAAGTTTACTAAGAATGGTGTAATGTTTGTTGACAGAACATATATCGAAGATATTGACACTGTTATTTTTGCAACTGGATATGGCATAACTTTTCCTTTTATTAGTCGTGAAATTGTTGATGGTAATTATCATTTTCTCCATCCATGCGAATTATTATAATTTAGCCCGTTTATCGCTTATGTCGAAAGTGACTTCATAATCGTATTAAATTTTTGTCTTTATAAAACAAAATGTATTATCCATAAATTTTAGTAACTCTTGTAGACCTTTGTTTATTTTCTAATTGTGCCGAATCTTTTATTTGATTATTTTTTATATTAGAAAGAAAGCTGGAGCTATTCAAACACATTCTATCTCCGAAGTACACAACACTTGCATTCATTGGATCCGTGGGAGCCATTGGGGCACAAGCGCCAGTATACGAACTACAAGCCCGCTGGGCTGCTTCTGTATTTTCAGGCACTGTGAAGCTTCCTGATTTGAAGGCTTGTCAGATGGATGCCAAAAAACGTGTTGATGGCATGATAAAACGATATGGCTATCTGAAAATAAAAGTAAGATGACGTTGAAGATTTATAACCAGTTTTTTTTTTATATAGCACTATTTCTATGCCATAGAATCAGTGTCAGTAGAGAAAAACAATCCCACTACCCAGTTGAATAATTTGGTGTAGAAGAAACCAGTGACGTATCTAGAAGTCTTGAAAGGGGGGGGGGGGGGTTA